AGCTTTTTGAATGCATCGAACCATAGTTTAATTTTATGGCAGACAAAACTTCTATTTGACACTCAATTGTCTTGTTAGAGCATTTGTTAGCACTGTGGAGGACAGCATACTTAGTTGTCATAGTTTTAGCTTAAGAATTTTATCATTTTCTATAATACTTATTGAATATATATATTTTAACAAAACACTCCCGATTATATCAACTAACCCCGTGTACATAGACAGTTCACATAGCTTAGTGATTTAATAAAAAAAAAATTAGAGCCTTGGTAGCTCAATGGTTAGAATATCGGACTCCGATCTGGAGGAGCTAGGGTTCAATCCTCGACTCTAAGATCCACCGAGTACATGCAATATACGTGTTCGAATCCTAAGTCTTGCTGTCGGTCGCTGATCAGCACCATGGGTACACGGATCTGGAGAAAATTTTCTTCCCCTTCAGATCTATATCTAAATTAAGGAAGTGGCCTTACGAAAGAGTGATGCTGCCATCCATCCGTGGGGTTCAGAACGAAGAAGTGCTTTCGTCCTTGTGGTGCTCTCTCGTCGAACGAAAGACGTACCTTCCTGGCTTAATTTGCAAAAGGCAGATTGTTGTCCAAGTGCACAAGTCATTTGAAACAACAGTATAATAAATTCAGGCAAGTTATTAAAATTAGGACAAGTACTAATTTTAATAACTTCAGTTTGAAGTTATAATTACTTAACTTATTACTCAACTTATTACTCAAATTATAGTTAACTTATAATTTGAAGGCGTTAATAATTTAATTTTTAATTTTGAGCACAATTTAAACTAAACTTTAAGGAAGTTTTTTATTACTATCCCAAAGAAAATTGGCACATAAAACGCTTAATAAATCTGTCACCTACATTGCACCAACATGCTCTAGCTACCTGCCAACGACAGTTTCTCGAAAATAGCCGTCTCACTGAAACACATTTTTTATTTTAATATTTCATCAAATTATTGTAATCATTATTATTCTTTCTACCAATATAGAAATGGTGAAAAAAAATCCTTTATATATTTTAGGGCTTAACAGAAAGAAAAAATTTTTTAGTTGATTAAAAAAAAATCTTTGGTAGTCCCGCTTAAATATTAGAACCTTTTCACTTTGTGTGGCAAGCATGTGAAATAATAGAAGGGAAACAAATCATAGTACACTTAAGTTTATAAACATATAAATTAATAAATAACACATCTGCATGATATCCAGCAGAAAAAAATATTCTTACAATAATTTTTATTTCAGTTAAAAGATTTATTTAAATATTTGAAACAAATACATTGTTGTAATCATACAAAAACATGGCAATTGTTTTAAATTGGTGGCAAAATAGAATAATAAATATCCCGAAGATAAAAGCTCATTTAACGTATTTTTAAACATCATTTATTTGTGTATGATTAATGTTTTATTTTGTTAGTAATGTCAATTAATAAATCAATAACTTATTTTGTCTTAAGGGATTTTTTAAATTTTCTTTTTTGAGTAATACAAATTGCACTATAATTAGATTTGGAGAATATTATATTAATTTATTTAATAATAATGAGATTCCACATGAAATTATTTTAATAGTAAGTTGTATATCAGATACGTTTTAGTTAGCTACTATGTTGCATGTTGCTCATTTGTTTTGTAAAAGGGCTACAATTTAAAAAAAAATTATCTTATTTTATGTTTTAAATACAGATTGAACAACCAATTTATAATTTATAACGTATTTGTGGCTCACAAGGGAAACTAGGGAAGTGTGACTCGCCAATTTTGAACTGAACTGGTGGGATGTATGCCTTATGAGGAATAATTTTACGGGGCAACATTCGTTTCGGCACATAGAAGGTCCTGTGCGAAATAAAAAATAATTCAATATATAGAAAAATCGTTATTTTATTACTTCAATGCAGACTATTAGTTATTGTAATTGTCTCATAATCTAGTTAATTTGTAATTAATTGGGTAATTAATTAATTTGCTAATTTATAAATTAACTAACATTCGTTTTGGCCCATAGAAGGAAGGTCCTGTGAGAGATATAAAATAATTCAATATATAGAAGAATCGGTATTTTATTACTTCAATGCAGACTATTAGTTATTGTAATTGTCTCATACTCCAATTAATTTGTAAGTTATACTTTTTAAGTTCA